TCCCTACAGAGGTGACCCTGAGTGAGATTAGATCTAAGCTTACTGGATCTGATTCACCAACTTTATTACTCCTCTCCTTTCTCAGTCCTTGTCTAAAAATCTTGTTCTGATTTTGTGTTACTATTTTATTGTAGTTCTGGGGGGACTGCATCTGTAAAACTTGTATCTGTCAGCAGTTGCCATTAAAAAGTTTGAAAATTACTTTTCTTCAGATAAATGATTCAAAATATTTGTGTCTTTCAGTGTTCATAAAGCATCAAAGTCATGTTGCTTGTATGAAATTTGAAAGTAGGAGCATGTTAATTTCTGCACACAGGTTTATTTGTTACTGTATTAAAGCAAAGTACCACTGATACAAATGAGATATGAACAGACATACTTCATCATAAAATCACATGTTTTGATGCTGAGGAAACCAAATATGAATGAACCTATTAATTCTGTCTGAGCTATGATGGGATCTCTTACAAACAAATTTAAGACTTAAGAAATCTAAACCTTGAATAAGGTCTAGATATTTTAATCCTTCCTAATAGTCAATAAACGTCATTGTATAGGGAAAGCTTTGCATTTAGACTAGATTAGTTTGTCTTCAACCTTGTATTTTCTGTTTTCAGCTAGCTTAGAGATCTGTCTAATATGGGAAATTTTTTCCTGTCCCCCATGGAGTCATTTGCAGATGATGACTGAGTCATCTCTTGCTCTTGCTCCTTGTCTAAACTGTATAGATCAGAAAACTTGCCTTGGAGTGGAAAACTGGTAAGGCTTTAATTTCAAAATGTTTTCATAGCATTTATTATTAAAAACAAATCGAAAACAGTGCTCACCGCATGACAGGAAGTCTGGATATTAGAACTACCAGCACTAAACCTATCTGCGTGCTGTAAAGGAGTGATGTTCTCTCCCCATGATTTGATGTGGCTGAATTTGTTTCTGTCCTAGCTCTTAGTACAGTACTGTCTCTCACAGCTGTCAATGGGTTTGTGTGGCTATAGGTGGTCAAGGTGTAAAGGAGCACTTCTGGAAGAACAGACCAGAATAGATACTGTTTTTTTAATTTGTGCTTGCTGTTGAAGTCCTCAGCAAACTTTCCATGTTGCTAACATTTTTTGACAGGGTTTTAATTGGAAGATCTGGCTGAAATTGAAGTGTCAGTAAATGGCTTATTAAAACAAACTGATACATTGGTAGCAGGTGTTCATTTCATTAAGGTCATTCAGTATTTTCAGAAGACTTCTGAAATACTAACTTTTGCTTAGAACT